GAGGGAAGCTGATACTAACAAAGACACTATAATAAGGCTACAGATGCAGACTATGGGACCATGTTATATAGCATGTCACCTACTGGTCTAGGCATCTGAAAAGGAAGTCTAGAAGTGACAATTAGGCAGAGAACCCAAGAATGATCAAAACTTAGCCAAAAGTGAGAAAGGGGTAGGCAGAAGTGGTAAATAAATAGTTAGTGGTATAAGTGTATTGCAGAACTTCAGTCTGGTGGGCGCACCAGACCTCTGGGTACATGTACATTAGTTGGGCGGGGGATAAGTCTTAAGAGTTGGGGCCACACGTGGTGGCTCATGCCTGTAATCCTACTCTGGAAGGCTGAGGCAGATGGATTGCTTGAGCTCAGAAGTTCAAGACCAGTCTGAGCAACAGCAAGATCCTGTCTCTACAAAACAATAGAAAAATTAGCCAGGCGTTTTGGCCAGTACCTGTACTCCCACCTGCTAAGGAGGCTCAGGCAGGAGGAACCCAGGAGTTTGAGGTTGCAGTGTGCTAGGCTGGAGTCACAGCATTCTAGCCCGGGGCAATAGAGAGAGACTGTCTCAAAAAAAAAAAAAAAAGACTCAAGAACTGGACAGGGGTCACATCACTAGCTAGTGGGGCTAACTTTTAAAAATGGCAGAAGATGAGACTGAAGAGTTGGATGGGGTTTATATCATCAGCTAGTGGAGGAAACCATTAAAAAGCTACTTACACGCCGGGCAAGGTGGTTCCTACCTGTAATCCTAACGCTTTGGTAGGCCAGGCGGTTGCTTGAGCTCAGGAGTTTGGGATCAGCCTGAGCAAGAGTAAGACCCCATCTCTACCAAAAACAGAAAAACTAGCGGGGCATAGTGGTATACAACAATAATCCCAGCTGCTTGGAAGGCTGAAACAAGAGGACTGCTCAAGCCCAAGAGTTTGAGGTTGCTGTGAGCTACAATGATGCAATCGCACTTTACCCAGGGTGACAGAGTGAGACTGTGTCTCAAAAACAAAAAAAAAAACAAAACAAAACTTGCAGCGCCTGTGGCTCAGAAAGGTAGGGCGCTGGTCCCACATGCCAGAGGTGGCGGGTTCAAATCCAGCCCCGGCCAAAAACTGCAACGCGCCCCCCCCCAAAACCCAAACATTAGTTTAATAGCAGTTGCTTCAGGGCACCTAATTTAGAGCCCAAATCCCTGTTCTCAACATGATGTCCAGACTCAATAATAAGGTTTAAAAAGCCCTTCAAGATATAACACCAGCTTAGTGCTTCAAACTCTTTTCTTATTCCCTTCTCTTTAATTTTCATTCCCCTATGCCAGGGTATTTGGCAATCTCTTTACTAAGCCTGGACACTGTTCCATTCCATTTCTGTATGGAATGTATCCTTCAGGCCTCATAAGCCATGTTGAGTGAATTTAGACTTCATTCTAAGAATAACTAGAAGGCCTTTAAGAGCTCAAGTTGAATGACAGATTTGGATTTTAGAAAGATCATTATGGCTGCTATACAATGAATGAAGTTAGGAATGGTGGTGAGACGTACACCGAAACTAGAGTCTGGGAGACCAATGAGGGTGCTGTTGCAGTGACTCCAGGAAGAAATGTCATTCCTGATCTAAGGACGAGCAGATAGCAAAAACTCAAGGTATTTAAAAAGCAGAAGTTTTGAGAAGGATTAATTCAGTAAGAAGAAAAGAGTCCAGAATGGTGTCTAGAATAAGAAAATAAAATTTAAATATGTTAAGGTGAAACAGGTCCAGGCATTTGTATTGACTGCCCCTCCTGCTCAACGGAGTTGAATGTTACTTATTACCCACTCATTAAATAGGGTATGAATTTCAGTTTCATGGGCAGAAACAACATACGCATCAATATAGGAGACATATTCTGTAAAAGCCAAAATGACTGACTGCTATAAATTTGTAGATGAATTCAGAAGAGATTGATGAGGATCGAGAATGGCTCATGAAATTGAAATTTAAGTCTTGGAAAACACAAATTTCTACAAAGGAGAGTTTGGAAATTTGTAGGACTGTGCTATCCAGTAAGATAGCCTGTAGGCACCTGAAATATGGCTTCTCCCAAATGAGATGTGATTTAAGTGTAAAATATACACTGCATGAGATATGAAAAAAAGAGTTCAAAATAATATCTCGAGTTTTTAGACTACCCATTGAAATATTAATATTTTGGATATACCAAACTAAATAAAATACACTAAACTTATTTCCCCTACTTTTGTTCTTCACTCTTAGAAATTTGGCTCCTAGAAAACATGTTCACACTTCTATTAGCCAGGAGTGTTTTAGAAAAGCCAGCCTACGTAAAATACGTACATAATGAAAAACAAACCTTGGTGAATTAACCTGATTGGAACATAGCTAAGGGCTCACAATAGAAAAAACAAAATCAAAGTTAGGGCTGAAGAGGCAAGGATAGCATGGGGGATTTTTCTTTTTTGAGACAGTCTTACTCTCTTGTCCCATGCTAGAGTACTCTGGTATCAGAGCTTACAGCAACTTCAAACTCTTTGGCTCAAGCAATCCTCTTGCCTCAGCCTCCTGAGTAGCTGGGACTATCAGTGCCCATCATCACACTCAGCTAAATTTTTGTTTTTAGTAGAGATGGGCACAGTGGCTCACATCTGTAACTCCAGCATTCTGGGAGGCCAACATGGGTGGATGGCTTGAACTCAGGAGCTCCAGATCAATCTGAGCAAGACCCTGCCTGTCTCTACTAAAAATAGGAAAAGTAGCCAGGTGTTGAGGTGGCCTCCCAGCTACTTGGGAGACTGAGGCAAGAGGATCTCTTGAGCCCAAGAGTTTGAGAGTGCTGTGAGCTATCATACCACAGCACTCTACTCAGGGAGTCGTACCATGCTGCAGCAGAATGGTCTTGAACTCCTGGCCTCGCAGGATCCTCCTGCCTCGGCCTCCCTAAGTGCCAGGATTAAAGGTCTGAATCACAGTGCCTGTCCTGAACACTTCTGAGTAAGGAAGTGCCCCTTAGAGACCAGAAAGTGACATTTTAAGGGCTGGGGTGTGGTGGCTCTAGCCTGGAATTCTAGCACTCTGGGAGGCTAAGGCAGGTGGATTGCCTGAGTTGGAAGGTTTGAGACCAGCTGAGCCAGAAGGAGACCTCGTCTCTAAAAATAGCCAGGCATTGTGGCAGAAGCCTGTAGTCCCAACTACTGGGGAAGCTGAGGCATAAGAATCATTTGAGCCCAAGAGTTTGAGGTTGCTGTGAGTTATGATACCATAGCACTCTACCAAAGGTGACAGAGTCAGGGCTGTCTCCAAAAAAAAAAAAAAAGCAACATTCTAGAAAAATTAACTGGCAATAGTATGTAAGACAGAAGAAATGGAAGAAACATTTCAGAGAGTCTACTAGTTTACAGATGCAGGAAAAATTCTGGTCCAATGCCTTCATTTTACAGAGATTTTTAACTCAGAATCAGAGAGATCTTGGCTGAGTCTACAACTTTTTGATCTAAATTCAGTTTTTTTTTTTGTTTTTTTTTGTTTTAATGAGGAAAAGAAGCACTGACCAGCCAATGCAAACGACTTGGTTCACTATATATTTAGAAATTAGGTGCGGGGAACGAACCTGGGTTTTACCAGCACCAATGGCAAGAATGATCTTTCCTGAGGACTTGAGCATTTGGGGAAAGAATAATTATGCAATGAACCACGTAAACTTTCTTTTTTAGCTGAAGATTTTACAGTTCTCCAATACCACCTCCAGCATCAAAGACTATCTAAAAAAAAAAAATCAAACCTACACAAGATTTTTCAGAGGCTTCAACTATTAACTTCCAAAAAAAAAAAAAACAAAAACAAAAAAACGGGGGAGTTATTAACCTAGCGAGAAAAACAGGACTTTGGATTGAAAAGTGAACAATAGATTTTCTTGTGTTTTCCAATAGCTACTTATTACAAATACTGCTTTTAGGCACCTCTCCGACCGCTGGCCGAATCTCGTACTCATTTTCCTCGTCTCGGTCCCTTTCCCCACCCCCAAGGCAGTTCTGGGCAGTTCAGTAAGTTAGGCGAGGCTCCGCGGCACAGTGTCCAGCGCACGTCTTACCCGACCTGAGGCCACGTGTGCGCCGGGTCCAGCGGCCTGGATGCGCAGCTGCTGGGAGGGCGAGCACCGCCCCGGGGCCCGCACGGTACGCGCCAAACCCCGCGAACTCCCGCGTACCGAGAACTCTCCGGGGACTCCCGGGAGGCCCAGGTTCCTGTTACTCACCCTGAGCTGCCGCCATTATTCCGAGTAGGCTGCGGGTAGCGCTCTCGCCGGGAAAAAAGCAGAAATCTAGAAAAGAAGAGAGGTCAGAGGTTAACGGGGCGGGGAAGGGAGGCACTATCCACACACCCCCACACACACACGCACACACACGTACACGCCCCCTGGCGGGGCCACTTATCCCCGCGCCGCTCTAATCCAATGCCGCGACGGCAGCCTAACCTGGGGGTCGCTACCAACCCACAGCAGCGCACACTCCCGACGAGAGCGCGGCCCGCGAGGTTTCCCGCCGCGCAGGCGCAGGGACTCGACCCCGCCCCCCGGCCGCCCAGCGCGGGTATAACTCCTGCAGAGGAAAGTGGCGCGCGCTAGCGGCCCCACCCTACTCTGCAAAAACTCACCGACCCGAGTTCCTTCTAGGGGACGAGCAGCTTATAGGTTGGAGTGTACCATGTCGTGTCTGTTGGGGGGAAGTATGCGGAGAGAGGCATATCAAGCTTACATCCTTTCATAGATAAATGACCTTGGTTCCGTTATTCTCATCACCTCAGTCCTAGAGTGCTGGAAAATAACGGAGATTCCAACATGCAGAAAAATTACTTTCTGGACGACACCTAGGGAGAGCTGGCTCCACCCCCACAGGATCCGTGACTCCTCCCTTAAGGCGGAGCCTCTCCCTTCACTCTTGTTCACTGGTTGGCTCTGCGGGCGGGGCCGGGAGTGACGGACAAGCGGGCTAGTCACGCCCACCCAGCAGAAGCATGCGCCGCCGCAGTAGCTAGGACCTCTAGTAACCGGGAAGGAAGCGGCTCGCGTGAGCTTCTGAGACGTACGGGCCAAGCTGGCTGCTGGTTGGTGCTCCGACCTCGGCAGCGGCAGCAGGTCCCTCCACGTGCTTTCTGCAGCAACATGGAGCTGGAGGAATCGGGGATCCGAGAGGAATGTGGCGTGTTTGGGTGCATCGCCTCAGGAGAATGGCCCACGCAGCTAGATGTGCCGCATGTAATCACTCTGGGACTCGTGGGGCTGCAGCACCGGTGAGCAACAGGGTGGGGGGGGGGGTAGCGAGCTGTGTGCTTCTGCATCTCCCCAGGCCGCTTCCCGCGGTCGTGGAGTTAGCGGTTTCGTGAGCAGGGGGCCAGGAGGATGGACCCCTCTACCTGAACCAGTGTCTGCCCATGACATCGACCAGATTGCCAAGGCGTGCGCGAGGAGCACCTCTGGGATTTTGGCCTGCCACCCCTCTTCCAAACTCTGATGCCCTTAAGGGGTTCTCCCTCTCCTCCCCCCCACCCCCGGGGTCTTTGCACCCTCCGCGAGGCTGGCCAGTTTGCAAGGCTCTGTTGATCTTAGTCTAGCTGGGTCAGGGCTCCTCCCGGACTGCACACCCTTTCTAATCTCTCTGAGCCTGGGGCTGCTCTTGTAATAGGCTTGTGTGGGTTGGTGGCTGGTCCAGGTCGTACATAAAAGTCCTGCAACCCCTTACGGTTTTCGCGCGGGGCCTCCAACCACCACAAGCTTTTGTTTGCAAAGGCAGAGCTATTGAGTAGATCGTGGGTTTGAAAGCATTTAGAACTATGGGAACTTGGGGATCCTAGACTTAAGATCCAGGGAGACAGGACTAGTTGGTGTTCAGAGGATCTGCTGGTAGTAGATCACGTATAAATTCAGTGAAAATAGACCAACCACAGGAAATAGTGAATTTGGAGAAGCTTCATTAGTGAACGTTTTACATAATGAATGAAAACGTTGATAGCAAGATGCGAAAAATTAACTCCCTTCTTTAAAAAGGGGTTAGGGGAGTAGTGTCTATATGTCAACATACACATTGATTTTGAAGAACAGGAAGATCCCTTGGGGCTAAAAAAAAAAAAAACAAAAACAAAAAAACGAACAAAACTTGGCTTCCGTGGCCTTTCTTGCTACTGGTCCTAATTGGAAGTTGATGTAAATTATTCCACTGGGGTAAAAAATACAAACCCTGGCTTGATACTATCACGGAAAACATTGCAGTTTCCATAAGGCAACACAAGAGCAACAACTTACAGAACAGTTGAGAAACTTGGCAGTAACGCCTATCAGCAATATGGGTGCAAATGCATTCCAAATAATTTAGACTTCTTCCAACTAAACTTAAGTGAACTGCCTTTGTGCTGTTTTCAGGGTCCCAAATACTTCAATGTCAGTTCCACGTTTTGTGTGCTCCTTGCTTACTTAAGGAATTGAGAGTAACTGAGAATCTTGGATTAATCACAAAGAATACTTTTAACTTAAATAACACTGATGTTGAATAATTGTAGGTTGACCATAATGGATTTGTTTTCAAAAACATTTATTGAAAGGATTAAACATATAATCGAAGAAGAAATTAGAATTTGATTATGTGGTAGTTCTGAGTAAAATTAGTTTATGACATTCTGAGAAGTAATTTTGCGTAGTATGT